TAGTAAGCAGACAACAATTTCTCTTTCAATGTTTTCATCTTTCCCATGATTATATCTAGAAAAATCAAAATGAAGGAACAATTGATCCAATCAAAACAAAATCAAATTCAAAATTAGAACAATAACCAATAACTCATTTAACAATAACCAAATCAATCTTTGTTGTCACTTTTCAGTTTTGTTTGAAGCTGACAAGCTGTTAAGCATAACCAAATCAATAACCAAATCTATAAGTTCATAACTTATAAATCAAATTGGCAAATCGCCAAATCGCAAATGACAGCCAAATTAAAAGGAAACTCAGTAAGACAGTAGTAACGCATAAATAGGCAACAGATTGACAGAAAACAGCAGCAGCAGTGCAATACGCCAACACCAACAATCAACAATCTTACAATCAGAAAAGAAAGAACATCTGAACAGGATTTGGGTCTCGGGATTACATACCTGATTTCTGTGAAGTGTGTGAATGGGGACTTGGGCACTTGGCGATGGCGATTGGCGAGAGTGAGACCAGGCGACTGACTTGGCGAGACAGCGACAAACGAACAGCAGGCGAGATAGGCAGCGAATTGGGAAAATGGGGATGAATCGATTTTGATTTCTTGATACCGCTTGGTCGCTTGGAGAATTGGGAGTATTGGACTATTCTGATTAGGAATCGGGAGGGGCCAAAGCCCAAGTTTGAAGATAGCAGGCTTATAACTATTTTATTTTGAACTACAATTCCTACTTCTAGCCCAATAATACTACCCCCTGGAATCTATGAGGGCTAGTGTAAACATTATGGTCATATATCATTAAGATTCTATGGACTTAGAATGTGTGATTCCGCCTCATTCCCTGTTCCTTGTTTGGTTGTGGGCTTAAGGCGGGGTCACCCATCCAAAATGCCCTTGCAATCTTAATGATATACGACTAGTTTACGTCAATCGACTATAAAAGAACTTGTAGGACTTATAATGCAAATTTCGTCAAAATTTGTTGAAACATTCGTAATGATGGAACTCGCTAACTACGTTATAAAATATTCATAGTGGTAATACCAAGGATAAAACAGGGAGTATAAAAGCACACAGAATACTCTATCATCCCAAAACAATAAACTCCTTTTAAATTGACTCAGTTCAAGTTACAATAAGAAATTTCCAAGGTCGTCATGTGACATCAGGAGGGTTGTTCCTCACCAAAATCAATTTCTTGTACTACGAAACGTTTTCCACATTTTTCCAAACTCTTGAAGTCCCAGTCAAAATGCAAATTTCGGGACGAAATTCCCTCTAACGGGGGGATGATGTGACAACCATCAAATTTCGGTCAAGTCAAAGTCAAACAAAGTCAACAAGTTAAACCGGTCAACTCCATTAACCCTTGTATGTTAGGGTTTACGTTATGTAATCACTGTACAATTCGCTATTTTAATGAGAAAAAACATCATTTGGAAAGTTCATGTGTTTGATATTCCTTAGCCTTAACAGTGCTAAACAACGAACCAAAGCGTATAAAACACTATTGCACAATCATCGGGATTGTGTAGGACACTAAATCATGGCTTAACGGGGTCTATGGACCTTGCGTTGCGAAGCCGGACACTCAAAAAGATCACAAACGAAACCTCTCTCAATCTCATTCAAACCCTACTCAAGATTACTTGACGCTAATAGGATCAAAACTCATACACTACGATATAAATTGACGTTAATAGCAACATAGTATAGTACAACGTTATAACTATAATCAAATTAAATTATGATACCATATTAAATCAAATCAAAGTATAATGCTCTAATTAAATTTAAAAGAATCAAACTTGAATGCTATAATTAAACTTCAAATCAAAGTAGATTGTTATAATCAAATAATAACTCATCTTTTATAAAACTCCATTTTTATAAACTTTACATTAAATTTTATAAAAACTCTATTTTTATAAACTTTACATTAATTTTATAAAACTCTTATATTAATTATGTAAAAGATGCTTGTGTTAGTGGGAAATTATGAAGACCACCAAAAGCAAAAAGATTATTCCCATGGTCTCCCACTCACACCTCCCATCACACTTTCCTTTCCTTTCTCCCAACACATTATTCTCTTCACCACTTAAACCTTCTCTATTCTTTCTCTCACTCTCAATCTCGAAATTCATCCAAGAAATACTCATATTCCAGCCAAGAACAATCTATTATACTCAAATCTTCATCCCTCTTGAAGCATTCATCAAGGTATGTTGTTAAAAGTTTCAAATTCATACAAGAAACAAATTAAATCCACCAAAATATCTAAAACTCATTTTATGCATAAACCTGATTTTTCTCAGAATCCCATCAATAAATAAGAAGTTCTGGAAATTTCAGAAAATAACTTATTTTATTGAATTACTATAATTATTGCAATAAAGTAGGGCAATAATTCACATAAAATACTTTTTGCATTCAATAAATTCTGAGAAAATTCTGGGATGACCAATATATTGATTAAACATATTTATGAAGTTTCATGCATTTATATTACTGTTTACTATTATTTATGATTTTATTGATTAATTAATAATGAAATATATAAAAAATACTTCCCATAGTCACAAATATCCGAAACTTATACACTGAGCTCTATATCATGTTATAAAACTATGGTTAATTTTACAGAATTTTTGGGAATCATTTATTATTTTTCCCGAATTTTGTTGTTGTTTAATCATTAAAGTATTAAATAAATACTAAAACAGTTCAGAAAAATATAAAAATTTTACAGTAATTAATATTGTATGAAATAATGATTTCCTAATAATTTCATAATTTTTCACATACTGTGTACTATTTAAAACCATTTTCCTAAGTATTTAAGCATGTAAAAATGCATTTTAATGATTATTTCATATAAATAATTGTTAAAATCTGTAAATATTATAATTGGGCAAGTTATTATTTTAATAAGAAATTATTAAAATCTGGCCTAAATTGAAAATATAAATTAATTATGCAAAGTAATTAATTCAATTAAAATTCATTTAACAAATGAATACCTTAATATTATAATCAAAATGAATTATTGTTAATTCATCTAATATAAGAATATGTGTCTAATTATTTGTATTAGTACTCTATTCTCGTTTAGCAGTTCCTAAACCAAAACTATTAATTATATTAGGTTCTACGCCATTTTGACCCGAACCGTCTATCGTACGACACACGCATTTCGTTTTGGGACTAAAGTGAGTAATCTACCCCATATTTATAATTTTCAATACTTTTGGGGTGTATCATGTGGTTCTAATATGTTCCAACTTCATTTTATTGTTTTATCACAATTGAGACATTGTTGGGACATTTATACGTGAGTCATTAATTGTATAACTATTGTTTGTTTACGCTACATGTACTTGTAGTGCATTACCATTTTTAGTCTAATCTCCATGACTATGCCCGTATTCTTGAGGTACGTTATGGACAATAATAGCGCTATGGGTTGACCACCCCGCCTTGGGACGCTAAGGTGATTGATCGCACGTGGTTGAGTGTGTATGATGATTAGATGCTCATCCTATATATATTTATATATATATATATAGATATATATATATATATATATATATATATATATATATACATATGTATATATAGGGTGAGGTTTTGTTGTTGTTATCATTTGTTAATCAATTTTTGATTTATAAACCGTTATCTCAAATACAATTGTTTGCCGACTTCAAAAGAAAAGAAATTTCAAATTATAAATGTTTCAACTTCACAATTTTCTCTACTAAAATTAGATTACTCACCAACTCTCGTAGTTGACCTGTTTTTACCCATGATGCAGATTTGAAGAATGAAGTTGATGAAAAATAGGTTGTGCCTTAGAAATCCACAAGACTATTTAAATTTGATGTAATAAATGTTGTTCGTATTTGGATTTGTATTTATATGTTGTGGATCTTGTTTGCATACTTAGTAGTTAATTGAATCTAATCATATTATAACATAGTTGTCATGAGACTTTGAACAATATATCACGCCTTGATCGATTCCGACAAGGATCGGGGTGTGACACGTGTCAGCTCTTGTAGAGGTCACATGACCGAATTTTCCTTTTCTTTTTTCTTTTAATTTTTTTTGTTTTTGTCATTTGTACCTTCAAACCTTCCCCGAAAATTATCAAAATATCGCCATTAATTATGAAAATGTCATATCATCTCGCAAGATTTTGACAATAAATAAAATCAAATCCTAGCCATTTATTTTTTCAATCTTAAGGCCAAAAATTGTTTTCGCGGTTCCTACCATTTTTTGAGTTCCTACTTGATTCTACTATATATTAGATATATATATATATATATCTATATATATTATATATATAGTGTGGTGTGTGGTGTGTGTGTGTGTGTGTGTGGTGTGTGCATGCGCAAAGCAACGACGATAAATAGTTATTTTGGCGAATTGTTTTCTTACGGAGAAATAGTTATTAGATTTTATTATTATTTATAATGTAACCTTCTTTAAATTTCTTAGCAACCTTCATTAATTCAAGTCTTTAAACTTTTGGCAAGTATTAATGATTTATTTATTAATAATTGATTTGTACAAAAATCTTTGTATCTTATATCTTTTAAAATTCAAGATATGACCAATATGCTTTATAATATATATATATATAATATATATATATATATATATCATTTTACATATTTCAACTAATTTATCAGTTAGTTTACCAAACATCATTTTTATCAATTGGTTTATTAGATAACAACTAGTGTTGCAATTAATACATCAAACATAGCTTTAATAAGTTATCATCTTCCCAATTTACTTGTATATGCTTTCTCTGCCTTTTATCAATGGATGCTTCCCTCTTCGCCGTTTTGTTGCTCTCGAGCACATTTCATCGTCATTCCATACTCGTATCTTCTTACCCTTTCATCGTATCCACCCCCCATCTTTTCAGAAACCAACATTGCATCGAATTATTCTTACTGGTTGTGGTGATTCTGATTGGTTTTGGTGATGATGGTGGGGTTGGTAGTGATTGGCGGTGGTGATGATGGGTTTGGTAGTGATGTTGTGGTAGTGGTGATGGTGATGGTGGGACTGGTGGTGATTGGCAATGTTGATGGTAGGGCTGGCAGGTGCTAGATGGGTAGTATTGCGGTTTGGTGGTGATGTTTGTATTGTTATTTAAGATTTTTATGATGTTACTTGGAGGTTATTACCACAATTTGATATATTTACGGCAAGTGTAAGTTTCTTGTGGCAACATATGACAATCAATTGGTCATTCCATTAAAGTATGTTGATATATAACCTTAATTTTTTATGTAAACTACATCCAAATACTTGAATCTTTTAGTTCTATGTTGCTATTGTTAGTGTACATATAATGTTGTATGCTTTAGTTGTATTAGTCTTGTTTAAACCTATTTGCATTGTAATTTGTACACGTACTTGAAAAACCGTTCGTTAATGTAATTTTCAGTTAATGAGAAATCTTAGAGTTCTATATAATGGGACATCCTGGAAAATTTGTCCATTTAGTGTGGTTTTTATAGTTTGGAGCTTTTACAGAAACATTCCATGTAATATACTTTTTTGTTGATTTGCTATGATGGCAAAATTGTCCTTTTACAAGCATTTAACAAAATAAAAAGATGATGTTAAGTATACCAAACAATGTTGTTCAGTATGGGTTTGTAACTAAAAAGAAAATAATTGCAAAAAAGGTCCTTAAACTTTTCTGGTTGATCGGTGGTGCACTTGTACCCGCGCCCACCATAAGTTCGCATTTGTAACTCCCATTCGTCTTTAGTCCGTTTATGACATGTGATATATCAAAACGAAGATATCACGAAGGAGAACACGAACATAGGGGTGACAATTCTCAATCCAACCCGTAACCTGACACGAAAATAAATGAGTTTGGGTTGAGATTTCTGACTCGCCAACCTGATAACCCCCAACCCGTTTATTTCATGGGTTGTGTTGGGTTAGTAGTTGGGTTCGTGGGTCAACCCAACTATATATATTATATTTAAAAAATTAAAATTTTATTTGTGAATCGATAGAATATACAGCACAATTTCACTTTGCATGGATGTTTTCAATTTCATTTGGATGTTAATGAGTTTATGGCTTTATGACTTTATGTTAGAAACTTTTTTTTTCAAAGATGTTTTTTAAGGTATTATGTTAGATTCGTATTTTGTTGTTCATTTCATTCTAGTAAATATAAAATGCTAAATATTAATTAGTTTAGAGACATGTATAATTCATATAAATTTTACATAAGAAAAATTACACAAAAATGATTCACTAACCCGCGAACCCACGAACTCATATACTTAAACGAGTTATATGGGTTGGGTTGAGTTGATGCTTCCAACTTGCCAACTCGTATATTATATGGGTTGGGTTGTGTTAATATATTCTAATCCCACCAACTCTTGACATGCCAACCCGAATTCAACCCAATTGTCAGGCCTACAAAAACACATAATCATTTTCCATTTTGATAATATTTAGGGTTCAATATTTATGCTAAAAAATGCGGATAAACTCATTTTTGGAAATTAGTTAAAACCAATTTTCCAACATTAGGTTTCCAAAATTAGAAAAAAGTATAATGATGGGTTTTGAATTTACTTAGTATTAAAAATAAATAAGTTTAACAGACTTCTTTCCTCCCAAATTAATGTATTTAATACACAGTAGAATTTATTCTAATAAATGAATATTTTTTTGCCACATATCATACTCTTATTCAATTTGTCAAATGTCATGTTGTGGTTATTTTGAATTAATTTTTTTCCACATGTCATTTTATGAGTTTTCTTATTTTATAAATTTTATATAATATTTTAATGTAACAATTATAATAAATGTAGTATTAAATGAATATCAATTTCATTAATGAATTTACCTTCTAATTTTAAAATTCTCAAATTAAAGTTCATTAGTTTCTTTTGTTTATTTATTTAAATTATTTGTTTAAACTTAAAAGATAAAAAATATTTCAATTTTAGTTATTCATTATTTTTCTTATTTTCTTATAAATTCAAAGTTATCAAATATTTAGACTTTTGTATTTAACTTAACTAGTGGAAATATTAAAAAACAAATTATACCAACATACAATTTTTAACTAAATTAATTTTAAATAGTAATTAATATCTTTTAGTATTATAGAAAATGAAAATTGCGTTTGTTTAATACTCGATAAACATTTTGGGGAAAAGGAATGGATCAAAGAGAATTGGATTCACTTATTAACACGATCGCCTCCAATGCTTATTCCAAAGAATCTTGTGAATCATTTTGGTGGAACCCACAGTATAAATATTAATTTTATTATAAACAAAGTCTTATCACCTTGTTTATTATAATTTTGTCTTGGAAAGTTGGAATATAATTATTTTTGTAATTATAGTTAAATACATAAAGACGTGGTGCTTATAGTTATTTTTATGTAAAGAATATATCTTTTGTCAATCAATTCTGAATAAGAACCCTTAAACAAAGTGACAGGTGTAAGTATCAATCAATTCATGAATAGTACAAATAACTTGCATCATTTCTTAATACTCATGAATAGCACAAGTAACTTGCATCATTTGGTACTACTCATGAATAGTACAAGTAACTTGTATCATTTCTATAGTTGATGAATTTAAAAACATCTTACATTTCGTTTATCTAAGCTTTCATGGTTCCAACTCAATTCATGAGTATTTAATCATGAAACTTTGCCCAATACATATCCCTTTGATTTTCCACTTGAATCTTTTGATTTGTGTTTTCACACACTATTTTCACCAAGAACACACATAACAAGTTCCAAGACTTTCATTATGAAAATCGAGAATATACACTTAGACATATTAACAAACACTTTATCTTGAAACCGAAAAAAAAAATGAATTATAAGCTTGACACTTTAACAAACAAGTGGTGTGCATATGCTTTACATCAATTAAAACAATAAAAACGTGAATTATAAGCTTGATTTTTTTTGAACGGCAATTATAAGCTCGATATATCAACAAACACTTGATATGATGTTTACATCAATAAAAGAGAAAACCTCAAAAATATGGATTGCAGGCTTGGAATTTAATTAAGTGTGCATATGATTATATCAATAAAAAAACAAGTGGGCATGTAATCAAAGATAACATCCAAAAAAAGTAAGGGCTCGTTTGATAGTTGCTGACTAGGTTAGAGCTGACTGGGTTAGAAGCTGACTGGGTTAGAAATGTTAACTGAGTCCATATCTGACTGAGTTTATGCTGTTTGATTATTTATCTGAATGGTTGTGCTGAATGAAAAAAATGACCATATTACCCTTGTGTTGTTTCTTGTGCTGGATAAAAAAAATTATAAAAACACAAATTATCATATAAAATCCAAATTAAACATGCATCAATTAAAATCCAAATACAAAGTGTAATACAAAATCCAAATACAAATTGTCATATATAATAAAAAAAGTACATCATTTAACGGCAACCATTTGAAAATAACTGATTAGCAATCTGGTCACGCAAAGCAGTCATATAGTCAACGACTTCTGAACCCCATTGTATGTCTTCTATGTTTTGGCCCTCACTTCCTCCACCACCCACATTAGGAGTAACCATAGTGTTTTGTTCAAAGTTCGTAAATAATTCATCTTCAATATCGTATTTCCTTATAAAATTATGGACCGCAACACAAGCAATGACTATGTCTCTTTGCACTGGAAAAGGATAAGGAGCCATTTGTTTTAAAATTGGAAATCCCGCCTTCAATACACCATAAGCACGTTCAATGATATTTCTAAGTTGTGCATGAGCATGATTGAACCTTTCTTTCTTTGTTAAAGCTCTGTTTCTTCGAAAATCAGCTAACCAATACCTAGTATTGCGGTATGGAGCCATAAATCCACGGGTGTTGGTGTATGAATCATCACAAAGGTAATATTTATCTGTAGATGATTGACAAATTTATCATATAAATAATATAGATAATAAAACGTATAGTAAAGTTACAAACCTGGTGGAGGGAATGGAAATCCGGAAGTCGGGTTAAATGCAACTTTTTTCAAAACTTTAGAATCATGTGCTATGCCCTCCCATCCAGCCCATACAAAGGTGAATATTATATCAAAATTACAAATTCCAATTACATTTTGATAACATTCACCTTTTCGTCTTCCCCTATAACGAGTTTGTTGATCAACAGGCACAACTGCATGTACAAGTGTTCCATCTAGTGCACCTATTGCTCCGGGAAATATGTGCATTAGCCGTCTATGTCGTTCTGAGGTATTTCTTGTTGGATTAGACGAGGTTGGTACTATAATTTCTCGTGCAAAGCACATCATTGCACGTAAGACCTCATGAAAACATTGGTGAATTGTTTGTGTGGAGTGATGAAATGTTTCTTTAACGACTCGAAAACGTTCATTATGTCCTATAACATGTAAAAACATAGCCATCTTCTCTTCAACGCTTATCGTCCTACTACATTGCAACCAATTTCTTTGTGTAAAGTGATTGCATAATAGTACAAATGCATTTTGTGAAAGACGTATCATATCGTAACATTGTATAGGATATCCGTGTATCAAATCTTGCGTATACACATACCCCTTTGCTACTTGTTCGCTAGCTCTTATTCTTTTAACTATTCTTTGCCTTTGTCGGACCAACATCAACCAATACCACGAGAATATAAGGAAATATAAAAATTCACCTTCTTTATCCATGTGTCCTGTTAGATATCAAATACAAATTACATTTAAATCAAACAATGAACCATAATATAAATTCATATAACATAATTGCACCTAAGAAAACAATCCATAGCATAACTAAACCATAGCATACTAATGTCAAACAATGAACCATAACATACTAATGTCAAACAATGAACCATAACATACTAAAGTCAACCAACTAATCCAAACTTTCTTCCCGCATTTGTTACCCACGACTCACAAGTTGACAAGTTAAGCCGCAACCAAATTTTCCTATTACCAGCACTTTCAGTAAATAACATAAGAGCAGTGGTGTATTTCAGATCATATTCTCCCCACTCCAAGCTTGTCAACTTCGCCATACAAGCATCCATCTCTTTGTCAAGATTATTTGCTTCTGTGAATGCTTGTGCAGCCTTGATAATTTCTTTTCCAACTTCTTTCAACTCATCATCAAGTGTGGTTTCTTTAGGACCATTTCGTTTGCCCCCCTTGTTTTTTGTCCGCCCAGATGATTCTTCACTAGTAGGTTGAGGTACTGTTGAGCTTGGGGTATCTACATGAGGTGCTGGCTCTTCCATCTCTGTATCCTCAAAATCATGTGTACTGAAGGTTTCATTGGGATGAGGTAGTGGCGAAGATGGCCCCCAACTGTGAACACCGGTCGAGGTCGCCCCTTCAAATAGTTGGGTACAAAGTTCAGGGCAAGGGAGGGGTGCATTTCTCCGCTTATCTACATACTTGTTCGACTGTTTGAAAATTTAATAAATATTATTAAAGTATTAAAAAAAATAATCTAATTTAAAAAATATGTATATATGTACCTTCGCTTCCGCTTCCCATTCTTCATTAGTCATGTTAAAAGAATTCGTTACAGAATCATAAATATTTCCTGTTTTGTTTTTTAAGTTTTAACCACACTGCATACTTTGCTTTTAAATAGTCGTATCGGTTTTTCATTTGTTTTTTCTCGACAACAAAATTATGATCTGTTTTCAATTTCTCCGCGACCACAACCCATGAGCTTGCTTTTAGGCCACTACCCTCCCGGCCATTGCTTGTTAATTCTTGTATACATGCTTCCAAAAAAGTTTTGTCCACCAATTCCCACTTCCAACTAACCCTAATTCTTTTATCTGTCATGTCTATTGTAAAAAGGAAAAAAAAATAGCTAATCATCCACATAACACACATTTACAAATAAATTAAGTTCATTTCAACAACCCCTTAAACTAATTGAATCCAACATGTACAACATATTCAACATAAGTTCATTTCAACATAAGTTCATTTCAACATAAGTTCTTTCAATAAACAGAATTTTTATATGGACAATTTGGTCATGTGCTGCTATTTATATGGACAATTTGGTTAGATTACCGCAGAACCACAAACATGCTAAAAACATACAAATTCAACAAACAAATTAAATGGCCATAAAATCGATTTGAGCAGAGGAGGAATGATTGGTCGACTGGCTGTAAAAATTGATTTGAGCAAAGGAGGGTTGATCTAACCCCTTAAACTAATTGAATCCAAGAACAATGAAAGCAGTAATTTCAAAGTTTGATTTCAGAATAAAATCACTAATTTGACAAAGAGACATGAAGGGTTTTGTGATTTCAGAAAAAGAAAAGCAAAAAAAAAAAAATAATAACTCAGAAATCTTACCTGCTCGTCGCCGGTGCAGAGGAATCGCCGGCCTGTGTGCGTCGTCGCGGGAGAAGACGGGGCAGGAGATGAAATCGCGATGGAGGAGGCGATCAGCAGGTGTTGGCGATGGAGGGGAGCACCTTTTGTCTAGGGTACTGGCGAGTGGCGAAGGAGGCGAGCGAGGGCAAAGGGCAAAAACGCGTAGCTTTATTTTCCAGTCAGAAGTTTTTTTTTGCTTACCGGGTAAGTTGATTGGGCTGACCGAATCAGCTATATTATGTATTTATCAAACATCCGACTGCTGACTGAGTCAGCAGTCAGCACTGACCGGACCCGGTAAGTTTAAATCAAACAGTCCCTAAGCCTTTATACAAAGTTCGTTTTCTCATCCAATAGAAAACTGACATGTAACTCCATATAAACCAAAATCCGGACCCATACCCATACCCATACCACCCAAATGTCAAATAGGCCAGTCGGGCTCTTTGACCCGAATACAACTTTGGGTAAATGACATAAAAAACCTTAAGTTTTCTAAAAAATGATGGTTTTACCCTTTGAAGTTTTTTTGGGTTGATAAAGCCTTAGGTTTGTAAGAATTTTGTTATTTATAGCTTTTATCAGGTCAAGCAGGTAACCTTTCCATATGGGATGCCACATGGCTACACATTAGCGCTGACTATCTCTTCTTTGCTGACATCACATAAATGGTCATCGTGCACACAGTTAGGGACCAAATTGGGCATCTTTAATTTCTTTCTTTTAGAGCCAAAGATAAAAATGAAAAGCCCTAAATCATCACATAAGTGGTCATCGTGCAATTCACAGCCTCCATGGTGGATGGAGCCTACACGGCTGTGGGAGATGAGTTCAAATGGGGGATGGGTAAAGGGTCAAACAACAAAACCAGACATGCTATATGTTCATCCCCTTCTCAACAATCATTCACCAATCGATGATAGACGATGAACAGGGGATGTTCACCTATAACTCAAAGCCTGTAAAACTAAAAGCTTCGAGCGCCTTTTTCAGTTTTTCCTCAAAGATCTTCATATTTGGGGCTAATTGAACCCCGATTCCACCACTCCAGTCTAAAGTAAGACTTTGATGGGTGGAGACAATTGTCTTCTTGTTATCATCGTAAAAACCTCGCCCTTTTGAAAAATCCCAATCTTGTCTTAGTTCATGATACAGTCTCCCAACATCAGCCATTGGTAGCATCTCATATGCCTCAATCTTTCAAGAGATGCTTCTCAAAATAAGTTTCTGACCATAACTCCACCAAAGTAGCTTGTGTATCCATTGCTCCATCTTCAGTTCAAAAGTGTTCAAACTTACCTGAAACTCCAATTAACAGCTTTTCAAAAAACCTTGCCCTTTTGAAATTGATCAGAAAAAATGACAAGACTACGAACAGGGCTTTCTCCCCATGTGTGCGTGTATGTGTGTTCTTATTTTCCCACCTTTGGTGCATGCGTAATTATTGAATTTTCGAACATGTTTTGCTTTCTTTTATTCTAGTCTGTGCTCATTGGTATGATGTCTCTCTAAATGTTGAATCATATAACATCTTGATTCTTGCCTTTTGTTCTAAAAAGGATGTTGAATCAAGACCTGTTGAATGAAATTCCAAAGAGATATATTGTTCCAAATGTTAAGTCTTACATGATTAAGATGTATGGATTGTGTAGAAAGAGTTCGATGTGGGATGTTTTTGGAAAACATGATGAACAGAACAGGGGATGGAGAAAAACGATAAACATGTGGTGATTGGCTGCTGTTTGAGTCTATATCTGCAGGTCTGAAGCAAGAAGAAACTCTCGATTTGCATGTTTGAATCAAGAAGAGAATTGATAATGTTCGATTTGGAGGTGTGAAGGTGATGGAGAAAGAGATGGTATTCTAGATGGAAATGGTGTTCGACTGTTGTGAGAGAGAGAGAGAGAGGGATGGTCAACAGTGGCGGAGCCAGACTCAAAGCAAAGGGGTATCCTAATTTTTTTTTCCGGGTATCACCGCAACGGCTGAGCATAGGGCGGGTCGGGTCAGTTTTACCTAAAATCAAACCCAAAACTGACAGCCTCTCAGTTTTGAAACTTTTAAAACCAAACCAAACCCAAACTCAAACCCATCGGTTCAGTGTTTCGGTTTTCAGTTTGTACATGGGTTTCCCGGTTTGGTTTTGGTTTTAAACCCAAACCTTAATTGAATCCTAACTATCTTTAAGTCTTGTTATATAAACATGAAGTTGAAGTATCTTTTGATACTTGAATCAATGTGGGACTCAAAGTTGATATAAAATGAATCATGAGGATAACAAGTTTATATAATAGATAAAAATAACCGAGTTTACATGTGTTTGGCGATGTGAGATAGAATAGTTTGGAAATTAAAAGAGAATAAAATAGCTGGAAAAATAAAAGAAATGTAAACAAAGATTTGTAACGAAAAAGAATTGATCCTAAGACCTTTGTCATTTGCCCTACAACTTTCACCAAAAACCCTCTTCCAAAACCCCCTTTTCCCCGTCCTCCCATTTCCCACCGGTGAAGGATCCTCGCCACCACGGCACCACCGTGTCTCCTACCGCCGGCTTCCACTACTCCATCTACAGGCGAGTCCGCTAAATCTTTTGGTTTTTTTTTTCCAATTGTCGTTTTTGAGTTTTCTTCCTTGTGTGTCTATATAATGCCTACTGAACTCTGTAATGCTCAATCAAATTGTATAGTTATATAACGAAACTTGCTTCAGCGTTATTTCTAAAGGTATCGACGAGTTTGTATGTACTTTAACCAGTGAAATTGTCATACTATGGAAGGTTATTGGGTAGGGGGCTTGATGTTTGATAGAACTGAACCTAGAACATCACTTTGAATGCGAAGTTAATTGGATAACACACGATCATGTGTTTGTTATGAATGTTATCTCTTCAGTACCTTATGTTTTACAATTTTCGGTGTACGTGAAATCCAGGGGAGAAAAATGGAGCAGAGGGTAGCTACTTCCTTGATAATGACAGTAAACGAAAAGATATTCATCGAGAGTGCGTTACTTTCAGAAATTAGGGTTGATGGTCGACGTCCTTTTGACTATAGAACCCTAACTATCACGTTTGGCAGGTAAGATATCCTCACATCCCTAATTTCCCTTCATTGTTGGATCATGGATGCCATTGTAGACCTCAATTTCTATCTCCCTTAACGACACACTGTTCTTTGAAAACCTAAAAGACGAACAACTTCTTGACATGTGTTTATACGTGTAGTGAAGATGGTTCATCAGAGGTGCAGCTTGGACAAACTCAAGTTATTGGTTTTGTCACAGCTCAACTAGTTCAACCTTACAGAGACAGACCAAATGAAGGATCATTTTCAATTTACACTGAGTTTTCACCAATGGCAGATCCTTCATTTGAGACAGGTCGCCCCACTGACTTTGCTATTGAGCTTGGAAGAATCATAGATCGTGGTTTAAGGTATCAATCAATCTCATTCTATTTAAATTTAAATTCCCAACTTTATATAGTGAGCAGAAGTTTTCCATTTATGAAAACATCAATCTTGCAGAGAAAGCAGAGCTGTAGATACAGAATCACTGTGTGTTATTTCAGGGAAGTTGGTTTGGTCAATCCGGATTGACCTTCACATTATAGACAATGGAGGGTAAGCTGGAATTTGGAAAAAGAAAATGGAAATGCAATTTCATGTACACTTTTTATAAATAGAGTTTTTAATTGAACTTCATTTCATTTATGTGGAAACAGAAATCTTGTTGATGCTGCAAATATTGCTGCTTTAGCTGCATTGTCAACTTTCAGAAGGCCTGAATGTACATTTGGAGGAGAAGATGGTCAACAACTTATTATTCATCCACCTGATGTAATTATAAAATAAAAATAAAACAAAAAAATATTTATTCATCATTTCATCTATCTATAAAATTCAAAGTTGATAATAATCTTCAAAAAACCACAGGTGAGGGAGCCACTTCCATTGATAATCCACCATCTTCCAGTTGCAGTAACATTTGGATTCATTGGTAAAGAAAACACTATGGTATGCTACAAAGTACAAATTTAATTTTAAATTCTATTTTAATTTTAGTATCTTCTTATAATTTTTAATTAGTGATTTACTGATTTTAGGTGATTGATCCAACACACTATGAAGAGGCTGTGATGGGTGGATCAATGACAGCTACACTTAACACAAATGGTGATGTTTGTGCTATTCAGAAAGCTGGAGGTGAGGGGGGTCCCACACAGTGTTATCATGCAGTGTTTGCGTATTGCTTCTGTTAAAGCTGCTGATATAACAAACAAGATCAAGAATTCTGTGAGTCTTTTTAAATAAAGTAAATTTTATTTTAAAAAAAAGTAATTTTTGAAGTGACTAATTGATTTATATATATATTTTCAGGTGGAATCATATAATACAGAAAGGTCATTACGGAAAGTCAAACGTCACAATCCTTCAACTGTTGTGATTGAATTTGGTCAACAGGGTTGCGGTGACGTGGCAAAACATCATATGGAAAGATTAAATTTGGGTTCGGATGAATCTAGTGTAATTAGTCATAGTGATGACGTGGAAATTGGAAGAAAATTAATCAAAAATGATAAAATGGAAAAGAGAAACATCACTGCGAAAGGCTCTAGTGGTGGGCCCGCAACTTGGTATGGTTTTTGCATATGAAATTTTGAAGTTGTTTTTTACATATCACTATAACATGCTAAATGACCTATTTACCCCTCCCCACGACGAAATGACGGGTAGTTCTAGGGTCATTTTTGTAATTTGGTGTCTTTCTCATCACTCCGCATGTTATAGCAAGACAAATAATACAAAAAAAAAACTTGTGGGATTGGGCCTTGGATGGGCCTGGAGGTGGGCCGGGCTTTTTAGTAGGTAGAGGCCCATTTCTTAAAATTTGAACCTTTATGTTTTAATTTCTCTTTTTTAAGGGATCCGTATTCAAGAGGTGTTGATGGGAATGCATTGAGAGCTTCTCTAGCTTCTCGTGGTATGTTTCTTTTTGACTTAATACAGAAAGAACGACTTAATAAAGAAACTTTGAAAGTGAAAACTTTTCCCAAATAATTCCTAACATTTTACAAATTTGCCAATATTTTTTCCTTGCAACATGTGGTAATAGTAGCTACACCTCCTGAAATACACAAAGAAGAACCAAAACAAGAAAAGCAAAATGAGACCCTATCTTCTCAACAATCTTTAGTACATGAAGTGACAAAAATTGGATTACAAACAAAGCAACCAAAGACATTGAAAGATGCAGTGAAACCGAGGCACAAGAGGAGAAACAAGATGGCCAATTCCTCCCCGAGTTAACATTGGCTTTGTTTATACCAAATTGGCAAATTATATGATTTTTTTTTTGTATTTTGTTTTAACTTTCAGACTTTGTATGCATCCAAAAATGATAACTATTTGTGACTAAAAAAAGGATATGAATGATATTGTTTAGGTGATGATCAAGTTAAACAAAGTTCTACAATAAGAATGAGCCGGATTCTTATATATTATAAATACTAGAGTCTGGAAAAAGAGAATGAGAAAATATCAAAAAATAATCATACTAGAAAGTAGCATATAGCGACATAACTATCTTTTTAAGTTTTCACAAATTGACAATAAATTTCGAGATGAGGCCCACGGGTAAATGGGAAAGAGAAATGAGCCCATAAAATCGATTCCACAACTAACAAAAAAAATCGGATTTTGGATAATTTTGTTCTTTTGAGAATGTTTTTCGACCTTTGACATCTTCATAATTTTTGCAAAACAAATAAGAATGTTGCATCCTAGTTGGCCAAAAGAGTGTACATTCAAGATTTTTTTTCTTCTTAAAGTTCGATTAGGACCTAAATGCCTTCTACAAACAAATTCTCGACACAATTATAAAACTGATTAAAACACGATAAAAACAACCAACACGAAAAATATAAAATAAATAAACTTTTAGTTTATTTAATTAATAGTTAATCTTACAAAACACGATAAACATGTAAATATCGTGTTGAATCTTGAACACGAACACAAAACGATGTTGGGTTTTTCACACTTGACACGAACACAGATTCAAAACTTTAAAATTTGCCCCAATTTCAATCTGCATCGTATATTTTTGCCGTGTCTTGTCCTGTGACAATATTTTCAGCGTGTCAGGTTTTGAACATTGGATAATGGTGTGACTAGCAGATGAACAACAATGACATGAGAAATATTGCGGGTGAACTACAAAGTGTCACGATAAACATTAGGGGGAACATTGATTGATCTAGAGTCGTAACTGTGATAATATTTGATCAGGGTAAGGCTAAATTCTTATTTACTAATCATCAAATATAAGAAAATTACAGGATTATACATATAGTTTGACAAGTCGGTGGTCTTCGAGGTTTCTAAACTCAATTTTGCCTCCTTTATCTTCGACCTTCATGATCTATATATACTTAATGTTTCCAAACAAATACAAAATTTTCCCAAACACCCTTTTATTACTTTAATTAAATTGATATCCTCTCTTCTAATAAAACAGTATCAAAATCGCCACGTGGCATTCTCTTAACGCCTCCCCCTTCATTTTTCCTCCCTGTAAGTGAAGTTCGCTTTCAATTAGTTAAGTTCAATTTCGTAGTCATATAAATTTTAATTTTGGGATTTCATTAGGAATATATTCAGTGTAGATGTATTAGGCAAGAATTGAGCAAGTTAATATCTTCGATATCTTCTCCATATTTTTCTCTCAAAAAATTTGGGGCAAACCCTTAAAATATCTTCAATGAAGATTGAGGAAGAATAATAGAGCGCAGGGCAAATGAATTCCTAATGATCCTTCTTTCTTATGGGAAGGTAAATGTAACGCCCATAGATCCGGGCTAGTCAATTTAGAGACGATAAGCATCAAAAATGACTTTTTGATGGAAGATTATTTAGAAGGAGTAATCTTAACTAAGTTGTAGTATATGTTACAAGGATTCCGTACATATAAAGAACGTCGAAATCCGAGTTATAACGAAGAAGTTATGACCTGTCGAAGTTTCGCGACAGAACCGGTACGACACAGCGCGACGTAAATAGTGAATTTACGATAGAGTGATATTTAGCCTTAGTGGTCTAAACGAAAGTCGTATATTTCGTTAAACCGAGAGCGTGCATGAAAAGAACGTCTAAATCTGACTTCGTATGAGGAAGTTATGATTTTTCGAAGTTTCGACTTAGCGGTATGCAGCCCAAAGTTCGAATATGAGATCGAGTGGTTTCTAGCCGAAACAATCTAAATGAGAATCGAAGATCTCGTCGATAGTAGTCCAACGGTAAAAAGACAGACCAAAACAGACGTCGGATGAAGAAGTTATGATTTTATAACGGAGTTTTCCTGTCCCGGCCTACTAAAAATAATATAATAAAAATAAAGTCAAAATTAGCCAACGGAGTCTAAACGAGAGTTGTAGAGCATGATCTCACCTACGCGTGCATATAAAGAACGTCGAAAACGGAGTTCGTATGCGAGAGATATGAATTTCTGAAGTTCGGAACACAATATTCGAGGCTGTGTCAGAACTCACGAGGTGAGCACAGTGCTCACGACGTGAGAACAGACTGGACGTCCTCCAGAGCAAGTGGACGAATGACGAACGCAGTGACCTACTGTGCTCACGACGTGAGTACAAAAAATGACCCTATAAATAGAAGTTGAAGGCCAGCCGAGTTTTGTTGCTCAATTCCTTTCCTCTCTCCCGTATTACATCGTTTTACGTGCAATTTAACCCCCCGAAGCCCCGGTATCATCCCGAAGTACCCCCGAAGCCCCAATATCATCCCGAAGTACCCCCGAATCCCCGATATCATCCCGAAGTACCCCCGAAACCCCGATATCATCCCGAGACCCGAAGCGAGTCCCGCAGCCCCGAAGATCCCGAGGATAAAAGAGTTTTCGAGCCGAAACTCTGCCCGCGAGAAGCTCGTTTTTCAAGAAAGCATCCCGGTTTCACCAAAGAATTTCTACTCGAAGAGCCGTAGTGCTGTCCGAGCATCGTCTAATCAAGTGAGTGTGTAGTCACTTTCTTCCAACACATAAATATGAAGTATTTGCTATGAAATACGTACTACGTGTTAATAAATTGTTTGTTTATCTGAGATGGGTGTTGAATATGAAGCTTTGGCTATAAAATACGTGATATGTGTTAATAAGTTGTTTGTTTATTTGAGATGGGTGTTGAGTGCAATGTTTGGTATAGGTTTTAAATAAGTTAAACTGTATATGTATTTTTTATCTACGAATATGATGGGGGAAAACATGGGTAGATAAATGATGAGGTATGAAAGATGATTAAAGGATAATGTTGGCAGATGCGCCTAATAGTGAATGTCGTAATCTTGGCAGATGCGCTTATAGGATAAGGTCGGCAGAAGTGCCAAATAGAGAATGTCATAATACTAGCAGATGCGCTTATAGGATAATCCTGGCAGATGCACTTATAGGATAATGTCGGCAGATGCGCTAAATAGAGAATGTCATAATACTAGCAGATGTGCTTAAAGGATAACGTCGGCAGATGCGCCTAAAAGAGAATGTCATAAACATGGCAGCCGCGCCTCATGTAGCAATGGACTTTATGCCAATTCCTTAGGTCAACCCTTAGGAATGAATGAATGAAGTGTAGTTGATTCTTAGGGTAAAACCTTAAGAAATAAATAAGATAATGAGGATGGGTAATTGGGTTGATTGTTTGATGATTGAATATAATAATTGTATTATTGTGGGTTGAAAACCCTATATGCTCACCAGGCTCCCAAGCCTGACCCACTCAGTTTTCTTTGTATTACAGGAAGTGGCTCAAGAGCATAAGTTGGTTGACATGACGAGAGATAATGGATTATAGGTCAGTAGTTATAAATAACTGTTGTAAGGTCTATATTATACTGTTTATGCTTTTGGTCTGTATCGGAACATGACATCCTGAGATTTTGTTATTTAATGAAAATACATTTTTTTAAAGAAATGCTTTGATAAATTCTTATCATATTTTGTTTTGGGAACAAATTCCGCAACAGTTTTCTTTAAACGATTACTTTGATTTTAAAACAAAGCATAAACAAATCGGTCTTTTTTTTTCTGGCCGTGATTTTGGGGATGTCACAGGAAAGGCGACGGAGAAGATAATTTTGGTTAACACATCCTGCCACTTCCCTCTTTCCACCTTTCGGCCTCCAACCCTGTTTCTCTTTGGATTTCACGATCGATGTATTTAAGGTACTGCAAATGCATCCACGATTATGAATCGTGGGGTTGTCAAGGAGCATGTTTATACAGGTTTTAGACTTAACTTTATCAAAAAGTTGGAAACTTGATGTTTTAAAAAACCCTCTTTTTATCTAAGCTAATTTCTTAATTGTTTTATTATTTTCAGTCACAGGAATATGGTTGATCAGTAGGTGAGACCTTTTTTTATATTCTTAAACCATCTTGATTGTAACATACACAGGCACAACTGCACAAGTTCTTATTATCCCTTGCTTGCAGACAATCTATTGATTCATAAAGACATTAGATAAGAACAATCCAAACGTTTCCATACTATAAAATTGAACTCTCGATGTAAGTTACCCCTCTCCTCTTTCTATGTTTTCTACATTTTATCTATAAATTATTGGTCTCCGCTTTTAAGATCATCGACAAAGCTATCTACGCAATGTCTAAATCTAGATGATATGTTGGGTTAAGAAAATCATGTCTCTCTTTTATTCATAGTTGATGTCAATATACTTATATGAATGGCTTTTGATGATTTTTCAACATGATTTGATATCAAAATGCTACTTTCACCACACGATTATTGTAAATTTTGTTTTATTGATTTGTTGGTATACAACTCAATCCGTTGATTTTCTGATTTTAGGTATTTTGTAAGTCGATACATTAACGATATATAAATCTCAGGTTATACAGATACCAAATATTTCATTATTTCCCAGAGCTGTTTCACCCACATAATTCTCATCTCCTTCTGGATTTTATTAAATTTAGTTTCCTAGGTATGTCCATTGATTTGTAACCATTTTAATTATTTTATGGACTTGAGAAGCATTGGCTGTTTTCTTCCCAGGTTACATACAAAAAGACGATTTTCCAGTTTTATTAAGGATTATAGAAGAAGCACCCTAAGTGTTTGACGAAATGTCTCAAAGAAAGCTTGACCCAAGTTCACTACTATCACCTCTCATCTGGTATTAATTTCCCTTTCTCATGTTATGGATAATGATAAACATGCATTTGACGTCTCTCTCCTCTCTCTCTCTCTCTCTCTCTCTCTCTCGCTCTCTCTAAACCATATTTGTATATATGTGTATATCTGGTATGCCTACAAAAATTTTTATTATATACCGGATGGATGAAGACAATTTGCATGATAAAATGATTTTAATACTTCATCTCATTATGGTTC